TGGGAATCAATGGTAACAGACCACCAACTTTTGATGGCACAGGTAGAATACGAGGTGTTAAAACTTTTCTCTACCAGCTGCATTCCTTACAGCTTTTCGAGCTGTTTCAATAGCTGACTTTATTGCTGATCGAGCATCATTACCAGGAATTATTGATTTTCTTGCAGCATCCACAATTTTCCTAAGATTTACTCGTTTTTTTGATTTTGTCTTCTTCTTTACTCCCATTCCAAATTTTGATTTTGCTTTCATAGCGTTTGTTATTGCGTAAGCTGCAGCTCTTTCATTATATTGTGCGTCTGGAGCAAATACACGTTGCCACGCTTTGTCAGCTAATACTCTATCAGCAGCGTTTCTTTCTTCAACGTTTTCTCGATTTTTCGAGTAAGCAATATCGTGCTCTTTACAAGCGGTGTCTAAAGAATTAACACCTGGATCATCTCGGTCTAGACGTTTTGCTAACTTTGTGCCCGGTCCACAATATTGATAACCCGGCAAATGTAATTCAAATGGCAACTTGTTTATAAGTTTATTAATTAAACCTTTTCCTCGAGAGTGATGATATATAATCATACCTTACTCTGTGAAAGTTAAAATTAGAATGACTTGTGAGCTATATAAGCGCCGTATTTATACCTTTAGCGGCAGTGTAAATCAGGATGCGGTTCAAGGAACAACTTCACAAGCTGCCAGTCGTCAATCTAGACTCGATTGTTGAACAACAAGACAAGAAAGTGAAGCGTCATGGTAGCTTGTTATCAGGTAGTATTCGAGCTATTTTTTGTGGACCATCAAATTGTGGAAAGACAAATGTACTACTTTCTTTAATTTTACATCCTAATGGTCTTAGATTTGATAATATTTACTTGTACTCAAAGTCTCTACATCAACCCAAGTATAAATTCTTGGAACAAGTTGTAAGTAATGTTGAAGGAGTAGAGTATTTACCATTTAGTGAGCATGAAGAAGTCGTTACTCCTAAAGATGCAATACGGAATTCAATATTTATATTTGATGATATTGCTTGCGAGAAGCAAGATAATGTAAGGGCATTCTTTTGCATGGGTAGACATGTTGATGTTGATTCTTTTTATCTTTGTCAAACATATGCCCGCATTCCCAAACATTTGGTACGTGATAATGTTAATTTACTAGTTCTTTTTCGTCAAGATGAGAAAAATTTAAGGCATGTTTATGATGATCATGTTTGTAATACTGACATGACATTTAATCAATTTCGAGAACTATGTGCCACATGTTAGAATTCAGCCAAGTATGGATTTGTAGTAATTGATAAGGATTCTGATTTAAATGATGGAAGATATAGAAAAGGATTTGATAGATTTGTAACACTATAAATATAAGATCATCCCTAAAATATTGTTAGTTCAATATGAAACCTTGTAATAATAACATGTTTCATAAAGAAAAAGAATATCTTCATCAAATTGCTAAAGCTAGTGAGGCAATTAGGCGAAAACATCGTATGTTAAAATTAGGAAAAGAAGAAGCTGAAAGTGTGTTGAATGAAACTTTCAAACCGATAATTCAACCCTTACAAAAAATTATCAACTTGACAGACAGTGAACATGAAAATGTCAAGATTGAAAATGTTAAGATTGAAAAGAAAGAGCAGAAGGAGGATGATAGCATAAACTATGAAAGTGAAACTGAAAAATCTCCAGATGATGATAAAATAAGTAATAAATTTCTATACTTATTAAATCATAATAGAAAGCAATGTTTAGATTCAACATACGGCATACGTAAGCTAAGTGATGGATCACTTATGATTGGTGATTCACCAATAACTCTTGAAGATCAGTTTGTAAAAATTGGTGATAAACGATATCTTCAAACACCTGGATTACTTGAACTTTTATTCAAAAGTAAACCTACCAGATCGTTTATAAGTGAAGCTGATGAAAGAAACTATAAAGAGATTCTGATTGCTACTAATGCACACAAAAAGAAGTATAGTTCGTCTGAATCTTTACGCACGGATAAGAGTTACAAGTATTTAAATTTTATATCTCAATTCTTCCCTCGAACACCTACCAAACAGCCATCTGTAAGCGGTAGTTCATTACCTAAATTTATGATTACAAACAGAAATTTTCAACGAGAATATATCTATTGGGATGATCCGAATGAGTTGGTTGACCGTCTTAGACTATTAATGGCTTCTCAAGATGCTGGAAATCCTAGTCACAATAATGAAATCATGTCTATCATTGAGGAACTACGTAAAGCTAAAATTCTATATTAAGATGTGTTTTAGCAAATATCATTCATTTCAACAATGAGCATTGACGTGTTCGGACATCCTCTCAATCAAAAAGGAACAGCAAGACGAGGGCCTCCTGGAGTTGGTTTTAAACTCAATTCTCAAGGTAACTTTGACGTTGAAGGAAAAAAACTCTGTAATCTTGCTAACGCTGAAGAAGAAAACGACGCTGTCAATTTAAAACTTGTACGACATATGATAAAACACGAAGTGCGTTTATTGTATGAAGCTAGTGCCTCACTTAGATCAGAGGTGGACAATAACAACTTATTTCTAAAAGTTCTTGAAGACTCTATTACAGAAAAAATAAAAAATTTTGAAAAAGATATAAATCAAGATTTATCTTATCGAACAGCTGAAATTATTAGTAAATTGGATACTCGCTTAAGTGCTCTCGAGAATGAACAACAAAAAATTAACAGTAGTGAATGAACTTCATACTCAGGCTAGAAAAAATTATCCTCGACGGCGAGTTGAAATGCGTGATATTGATGAAACATGGCAAGCAGATTTAGTAGAAATGATACCTTATTCAAAAATAAATAAAGGTTTCAAGTATTTACTAACAGTTATAGACATATTTTCGAAATATGCTTGGGCTGTTACAGTAAAAAGTAAAAGTGGAAAAGATGTTTCTCATGCAATGCAATCTATATTTGCTAAAAAACGCATACCAAAAAACTTGCATAGTGACAAAGGAAAAGAATTCTATAACTCACAATTTCAAGCATTAATAAAAAAGCGTAAAATAAATTTTTACTCAACATACAGTAATATGTGAAATTAAAATTGAGCAAGACAACATTGCCGAACTCTATGCCACCAAATCTTTCGATATCGCAGGACAGAACACAGCAACAACTTCAACATTTCAAGGAAATGAAAATCCTGTTGAACGATCGGTTGTCGAAAGGAGAGACTGGATTGCGGATCTCCTACTGGAATGGCGAACCACGCATTGTCAACACAAAGAAACCGACTCGCCCCACTCCGCCATCAACGAGCCAAACTTAAACTGTGTTGTGCCTCTCATATATGACAATTATACTCCTCCCTCTCTTTTCCCCACGGTAGAAAGTGAAAACAACAAGCTTCACTCGAACTTGCTCATATACTACCAGATTTCGTCATTTATCGTTCTGAGTGTAGATTCTAGTTCTAATCTTCGTGGAGGAGGAGTACTTTTAGCCATAAAATCACACCTGAACATTACAATTTATTAACACTGGTGTTGTGTTGCTAGAATACATTGTTATTAAATTTAAATTTCAGTCTACATTTTCTTTTATCTTATGTTTGTTTTATATAGCAGCACACTTACTTACTAATAATTTACACTTTTTTCAACACCAATGAGCAAATTTTGCAGGAACTTAAAGTTAGTAGTCTTTGACAACAATAATAACATTTAAACATTCTTTATGCTAACTTGTTGTTGATTAGTTTTAATATTGTTAAGTACATTGTACAAAAGGGCTTTGTGCCCGTAAACACTAATAAATAAATAAATAAATAAATATGAAGGCCTTTACACTGCCAGTGCCAAATTTAATTAACATTAAATCAATAATGAATCAATAATGAATCAATATTAAATCAGTTGGCACTGGCATTGTGAAGGTCTGTTGTTGGAAGTAGTTTTGATTTATAAAGAGATTCTACGCTAACATTAATCTTTGATTGCTTTGCTGGCTGATTGGCATTTGCGTTAAGTTACTGGGGGCGATTTGCACATTTAAATTATATTACATTAATATAAGTTTTAATCATGTTATTATGTATATATGGAAGGATTTTTTAAATAAAAACACATGGAAATTGTATATAATTGAATTATTTATTAACAAACATTTTATTTTTTACAATCATGTTTTACAAAATCATTCGTCGATTGTGGGGATCGCATAATGTTCCCACGGTAGAGTGTCGGTAGTCCCCGGTAACAAATACCGTTTGTCGTCTTGCGGACTTAAAGCTACTTTAATTTGTTTTACAGTCTCAAGGTTGTGTAATCGTGATCTAATATTATACTGTGTTCGAGTTTGAATGTCGAAATCTCGCAGACATTTTACATAATCATCAAAGTGAATCGATTTTTTCACAACGCCGGATTTAATGCCTTTGGCTTTTTTAATAAAGTCTTGACCTTCAACACGTACGCTGTACATCTTACTCCGCAAGCCAACAAATTCGGTAACGATCTTGCCGTTACATTCATCTTTCATTAGACCCAGAATCTTTTTGTTGGCTTGCGGAATGCCGTACACGTTGTTTGCGGGATAGTCTGACGTATCAAACTTTTTGATGTCATTTTTCATGTCATTGTAGACATCTTTATATTTAATTTCGTAGATTAGACTGTCTGTATCGGTATACATCAGTTTACAATTGTCACCGTATTTTTTTAACATATACCCGTAGTGAAAATCGTAAATAAGCGTTCTGGTCTTACGCAGTTCAATGGCAACCATACGTGTCATCAGCATTTAATAACAGTGACGAGATTCGAATTGCAGTTCAACATCAAGACTTGTACATTCTTTCTTCTAAAAGTACTTTACACGTCACTGGCAGAATTGTTAAGCCAAACAATACGCTTGTAACTAATACAAAGTTAATTAGCAATGGTATTTCCTACCTGTTTAATGAGATTCGTTATGAATTAAATGGTGTTGAAATTGATCGCTCTAAAAATGTTGGTATTACAACCACAATGAAAAATCTAATTTCTCAAACACCTAATCAAATGATTTACTCGGAAAATGCTGGTTATCTACCTTATGATGATGATAGTAGAGTAACAAATGATGCTGGATATTTTGATGTAAATATTTCACTAAGTATGATTATTGGTTTTGCTGAAGACTATCGAAAGATTGTTGTAAATGCAAAACATGAACTTATTTTAACAAGATCTCGTACTGATCTCAATGCTGTAGTAAACATTGGAGCAGCTGAGCGTGAAGAATTTAAAATTTTAATTAATAAAGTTGAATGGTTGATTCCATATTTAATGGTAAATGATCGCCAAAAAATTGAATTATTGAAATTCATTGAAAAAGACTCACTTATAACAATGAGTTTTAGATCATGGGATTTATATGAGTATCCTATGATTCCTGCCACTCAAAAGCATGTGTGGACTGTAAAAACTTCAACACAAGTTGAAAAACCTCGATATGTTATTCTTGGTTTTCAAACAAATCGAAAAGAAGATCAAGGAAGGTATGCAAATTTATTTAATGCCTGTAATCTTCACAATGTTAAACTTTTCTTAAACTCACAGTACTATCCTTATGGAAATTTAAATTTTACTCATAACAAATTTTCCATACTATATGATATGTATTGTAATTTTCAACCATCCTACTATGGAAAAGAATCTGAACCTTTATTAACTAGAAATAACTTTAAAGATTATGCACCATTGGCTGTTATTGATTGCTCAAAACAAAACGAATTTCTAAAACAAGCATCTGTAGATGTGCGATTGGAATTTGAAGCAAATGAAAATTTTCCAGCCAATACAGCTGCATATTGCCTTATAATTCACGACCGCATTATACAGTATACACCAATCAGCGGCATTGTTAAAAAAGTAACGTGATTGGTGGAAATAATGACCAATCATAGACGACATCGGTAGTGGGGGTATTTGGAGTGGTGGGGGAAAGGCTATAAAGATAGCGTCTCTCTAAGGCTTGAGCCATTATTCTATTTCAGATACCATGGCGTACGTCGTAGATATTCAGTGCTTCAAAAGACCTTACAACGAGTTTGTCATCAAAGAGTTGGCGATTCTACCACTTCAACAAGATGCTCATCCATTGGTCTACCTCTTCGAGCCGCCATATGCCTGGAGCCGATTACCTACAAGATACAAATGTGAGAATCGATGACTTACAAATAATTATCATGGTATCGATTGGGCTGCTGGTGACGTATCTTATGAAGAATTACAACCTATAATAAAAGAAGTACTAATAGGTACACCTACTGTTTATGTAAAAGGTTTAGAAAAACAAAAATGGTTAGAAAAATATACATTAAATGTGTTTAATTTAGATGATTTTAAATGTCCGTCGCTAAAAAGTTTAAGTGTAGAAAGTTCATCTACATGTACAAATCACACACGTAGCTTTAGCAACTGTGCTGTGAAAAATGTATGTTTTCTACGAAATTGGCTGATACAACCATTGAATGTACTACGAAATAATATAGAAAATAATGATGAAGTTGACAATGATTGTACATTGAAAGATTTTTATAATGATTGTGAAAATTTCCTATATAATGAATAAATGTATTAAATGTCTATTAATGTTTACTTTAATTAACCCTTCCCTATCCTATTATCTTTATTACACATGTGTAAAACTATTAAACATGTTAAAACTAGTCTAGACTTGTCTTATGACGTCACAAAGTAGGCGTGGCTCAATAATAAGAGTAGAGGATAATGCCATGCGTAGAAGTAATGGTGGGGTAATGCGCATGCGTAGAAGCAGTGGTGAGGGTAATGCGCATGCGCAGAAGCAGTGGTGGGGGTATTGCGTGATTTTTGAGTATAAATAGAGGCATCTTAGCCGATTTAATCATTCTGTTTTGTGACATTACAAAGTATTATCTCTCTAAGAAAAGATGGATCTAACCAAAATCAACGCCACTGGTCGCATGGATGCTTTTCTACCTACGAAGCCGCTATCCGAGCTGACTCCTGGACATAAGTATCCTATAACAAAGATCCAGGTCGTTAACACCAGGTATGGAGTCAAGGTCGTCGTTGAGGTGGATAAAAAGTTCAATACGTTCCTACCTTCAAGATTTGTACCAATGTTCACTGATGACTCGATATGCTTGGACCAAATGCAAGAAGCTATTAGTTCTGGACAATTACGGCTGAAGTATATTGGTGGCCCATACAACCATATTGAATTTAAAATAAAACAAGTGTAAATATTGTATATTGAATATAATAAATGTATGAAATGTTATTAACACTGTATTTAATTAAATACCTTCATTAGTATTACGTTAGATAATAAGGTTTACATTTTAAGGTTATGTTTAATAAAATAGATTTTAAGGTTATGTTTAATACAATAGATTTTAAGGTTATGTTTAGTAATGTTATGAAAAAATAATATTAGTAAACTAGAAATTCAAGAGAAAAATATTATTGCAGAGTTCGGAAAAAAGGTTCTAGAAAAATAGAAATTAGAAAAAAATTTATTTAATATAAACATGCTAAAGTGATGTTAAAATAGTATAAAATATTTATATAATTTTTATTTACTTACTATTATTATATTTCACACTCAAGAACACGCACCATTTATTGGATTATTATGTTCTAAAAACAAAATGGTGGACACGAATGCCCGGGAAATTTTAGAACAAAAAATAGTAGACTGCAATACCTGTAAAATTAAATTTTAATGGCGCCATCTAGCGATCCAACCTAAAACTAACTCGGTTGGTAAAACAGATTCCTACATTATCGATCGAGTCAAAAGTTTCAATTGTAGAACTCTAAACTTATTTTATTTATAAGCAAGGTCCGGGAAATTTAAAAATCAAGATAGTAGTTTGCAACGCTTGTAAAATTAAATTTTAGTGGACCCATCTATAAGGTTGACCTTAAACTATGTAGAAAAATATAGTAGGAAGCAATGCCCGCGAAATTCAAAAAGTCTTATAAATTATATATCAATTATAAATCTTTTCACTAATTTTTGTGGCGCCACACGGTGAGCTTGGATGAAATTCAACCCAAAAGTCATGACCCTTTCTGGTTTATTTTTGATATTATTTAAGTGATGTCTAATAATCATTTTAAGATAAAAATTAAAATAATCGTTGGAGGGAAACTCAAATTATATTGATTTTTTAATTTTTTTTCTAGGTTATTGTACATATTTTCTGAAGGATAATGTTTTAAACAATATTTATTGCTTGAAAAGATATTTTTTAACATTAAAAAACATTCTATTTAGTAAAAACAATATTTTAATATTTATAAAGCTAAAAAATTGTCGAAAAAGTCGAAAAAGTGTGAATTTTTTCGTTTTTCTGAAAATTACTCTTTTATAAGTCATTAAACACTACTATTAAATAAATATACTATTAAATATATTAAATATATATACTATTAAATTAAAAATCGTTAATGGAATTTCGTTGAATTTTCTAAAATAAATGAACATGATTTCTGTTAGTTCAATAAAAAGTTTATTTATTTAAAATTGTTTAAAATTAAACTTTTTTAAACATAATTATTATTATATGGTTTTCAAGTAAGGTCCAGAAAAAAAGATTTCACCAAAGAAACTGGACTTAATGACAAATTTCAATTACTTTTTTATTAAAAACGAACTTTAAATCATCATATTTCTGTAACGACAATAGATAGAATAGTTTTTCTTGTTTAGTTTTCCAGGAAATTTTATGTACTTTAATTTACATTTGCATAATAGTAGTGTTTAATGACTTATGAAAGAGTAATTTTCAGAAAAACGAAAAAATTCACACTTTTTCGACTTTTTCGACAATTTTTTAGCTTTATAAATATTAAAATATTGTTTTTACTAAATAGAATGATTTTTAATGTTAAAAGATATCTTTTGAAGCAATAAATATTGTTTAAAACATTATCCTTCAGAAAATATGTACAATAACCTAGAAAAAAAATTAAAAAATCAATATAATTTGAGTTTCCCTCCAACGATTATTTTAATTTTTATCTTAAAATGATTATTAGACATCACTTAAATGATATCAAAAATAAACCAGAAAGGGTCATGACTTTTGGGTTGAATTTCATCCAAGCTCACCGTGGCCAACTATTAGGTTGACCTTGAACCCTGTCGGTAAAACAAAATAGTGAAAAGCAACATCCGCGAAATTTAAAAATTGAAGTGGCGCCATCTATTGGTTTATCCTTGAACTCTGTCGGTAAAGCAAAATGGTGGATAGCAACGCCCGCGAAATTTAAAAATTAAAGTGGCGCCATCTATTAGGTTAAACTTGAACCTAGTCGGTAAAACAGAGCACCCCTTCTAACCCACTTTAAAGTTTAAAAATAAAATTTTAAATTTCCCGCCAAGGGGTTTGGAATTCGCTAGTGGCGCCATCTATCGTTGATCGTTGAACCCTGTCGGTAAAACAGAGCGCCCCTTTTAACCCACTTAAAACTATGAAAATAAAATTTTAAATTACCCGCCAAACGGATTTGAATTTGCTAGTGGCGCCATCTAGCGGTGGCAGCCAGAACTAAAAAAAATCGGTCGGTAAAACAGAGAACCCCTTCTAAGACACTCGAAAGTTTGAAATTAAAAATTTAAATTTCCCGCCAGTGAGTTTGGAATTTGCAAGTGGCGCCATCTAGCGGTGGGAGCCGGAACTAACTAGTGTCGGTAAGGTAGAGCACACCCTACCAACCACTGATAAAGTAGAAATCTGCATTACCGACCTGTCCCAGTATCCTCATAGCTATACTACTACAATAATTATTTTAAAGAACTATGCTTTTTAAGCTTCTATTTCAGAGCTAGGGGAGACTAGGTGCAGTTGTTACAATTTTGATAAAAACAGTTACTGTGCTTAGAGTTTAACTCCAATTCGTTTGGTCAAACGATTAAATCAAAGGTATATTTATTATCTAGTTTTAAAAGGCCATAATTGATTTAGCTCTATATCTATTATTTAATTAACTAGAATCATTTGAGTGACAGCGTGTAAATTGTAACAACTGCACAAAGTGAATGTCGGTTGTTACAATACCAAAAATCATCTGTAACATTTCTAAATTGAAGACAAATAATTTTTTATGACCATTGTTATAAATCATTTATAATTTTTGGCTCAACGTAATAGTACGTGACAGTTTCATAGAGATGTCAGCATTTATATTGTTTCGAAATAAAAGAAACTTAAAAAAGTTTTTTTTTTATTAATTTTGAAGACGAATTTCGAAAAACCATGAGATTTTTCATAAAAAATGAGTGTGATTACATTTTTGACAAATATTTTACATTTCAAACGAATCTGCTGAATTTTGGAAAAAATATCCGTTCTCATTATCACTTGTAACAACTGCACAACAGGTACATTTTTTACAATAAAATACTTTATTTATAAAGTATACACTAAATGTGGACAACCAAGGTAGTTTTTTAAAGCTTTATCCTCATAGAATTGATATCTAAGAAATTTACTTTGTTAGGTATAAAGGTCTATTAATTATTATTTAAAAAATATCAGGCAGAGAAATATTTACTTTTGGCCTCTAAAAACCAATGTGCCTATTTTTTTACTTGTAAAGCTTGCAAATAATTTTTAAACATATTGCAGTAAGTTTGTACATAAAAACTTAACATTTTTCTCTTTGGAACCCCATCTCTATAACTAACTGTTTCTGAGATATTCCATTTGTAACAACTGCACAGTGTAACAACCGCACCTAGTCTCCCCTACTAAGTAAACTCCTGATTCTATACACAGAGAGAAAAATCAAGCGTTTTTAGTATGGACAGTTAACCTTATTTCGTAAAAGAATGCACATGCGCAATAGGCGTAAAATTTCTGCTGCATTTGTATCAATTTCTA